TTAACCCCCCCCCCTCCCAAGGCACACCTGAAACTACTTATAACTAGACAAATGTGGAACACCAGTACAATAAAGAACACATACAAACTCTTGAAAGGTACACAAATAGTGGTCAATATAATAGCCTGTGACTGTATTTAAACCTAGTTATCACACTGAAATTGTTACTAGTATATTTTATTGTAATTGTTTATTTCTATAAATGATGGCCTAAAAAAGTGGAATTTCTTTTGCAACACAATGTACTTTAACAAGGGGATACACAAATCACTCATCACAATCTGTATGAAAATTCATAAGATATCTATACGACTTTTCTAGGTTGTGAAAGATGAAATTACCGTCCTTTCATGTGTGTCAATAGTATAAAAGTTAATGACAGTGTAAAGCTTAATCACTAGTATTGTACATTATATGCAAATAAAGTAGGATATTACTCTTTTTTTTACTGAATTTATATTTTAATATTTATGGACTATTCATTTTTACAGGAAGAAAAATATCAACTACTGCACAATGATGGAGCTTTGGTTCTTTTGAACCAGAACTTTAGAATTTTTACCAAAAGTTTATATATTATTCAACTATATAAAAAATAAATAGTATAACTTACTTCACTCAAAATGCATAAACTTACCACTATTGTTGATGGCAAATATGTTCGAACTGATGGTGTCTGATAGTTGATTAAAAGAAGGTTCTGAAATGAATCCAAATATTTAAGACTAGGCACCACAACAATACCCAATTTCATGAATGTTTCATTAACCTAAGCAGGTAAAACTTACATTGTATTCAAACACTTACTCATTAAATTTATAGTTTTTATGAAACTTTTAAAGTCAGAAAATTAATTAATTTTTATTGGTAATACATTTACATTACATATACAGTACCTGGTAATTTTTCAAATCAACAAAATAAAATACAATCTTTAGCTCTTTCAACCTGGGCTCGGTCCATGGAACCAACCTCGTAACCATTTTGTGCTTGTTATAGTTTTCATGCTACAACTTTTAAATTAATGAGTGAATGTTAACTAAATTTTGGCAGTTTATCAGTAAACATCACAATGCTTTCATATGCAAAATATCAAATTTTTTTTATTAAGTTTCGTAAAGCAATATTTCTCTCATGCCTTTTTTTTCTTTTCACATCTTGCCTATCTATCATGCAAAGTAATTTTCATCTTAACATTAAAAATACTTTTATGCATCAAAAAATTTCAAAATTTCACATGCAAAATCTTTATAATGTCCAAATAGTTATGAAATGTTTCTTAAGAAAAACTTTATATTTTAAGCTGTTATTTTCAGTAATTAATCTCTATATGGATTCGGTAAATTTGACTGATCTCACAACCACCATGAAAATTAGGAAATAAACATAAATTATGCATCTTTCATTCTAGAATGAACACAAATTATAACACAAAAACATAAATATTTAGACAAAATAGCTTAAATCTCATAACATTATACATTTATATATTTTTATTATATTGACCTTTCACCAGTGGCTGGCTAACAATACAGAAATTACAACAACTAGGCTCACGCGCACTCATGTTACCATATCAAAAACATAAAGGTGACCTTTGGTCTGTACAGTAACTTGTCTTGGCTGTTTTTTAGTCAACTAGTATTTTGTAAAATACAGTGACATTTCAGTTTATTATACATTACATATGCATATAGATTATTGCTATTTTGAAATAAGTTCTTAAAGTTATTTTTCCTAAAACACAGAACAGTAAATAAAGAAGTAAAGCAAACAATTATCTCTTCTAGTTACGACCTTTGTATTCGGATGCTGCTTGATGTAGGTTGCTAAGCCTTTAAAAATTTTGCACGTGAATGACATGAAACAAAATATTTTTTTGAGGTTTTATATATACTTTTGAATAACTAAAAAATCATAAATTACTACATAAATACCACAGAATTCCACTATAATTTATCAAACGTAATAACTAAGCTGTATTTGGGTCTAAAAGATATGAAATTTTGAGCAGACTAAAGACACAACCTACCTCATTGAAATCTTGATTTAACAGAAAGAAATGATGCTAGGTAGGTTAGAAAGGCTTAGAAAACCACTAGGGGGACATTCTGAGCTTCTGATTGGTTATTCATGTAATAATTTATTACGTGAGCAATATTTTAGCAAACAGAAAAGATAATATGTTCTTATTTTATATTCTAGCTTGTCAATATCTGTACTTTGAATTTCTAATTCGTATGAAACTATAAACTTAGTATTTTGACATCACAAATACCGAATTTGAATCAGTGCTGTATTCAACATACCATGTGACACACAAAAAGCAATGTTTATCTGTGTTTTCTAAATATTTACTTTTAAATTAACAAATTGAGTAATGTATAGTTCTAAAAGTTGAATTATAATCTACAGTTTGATACCAAAGTTACTGACATAAATTCATTAAATAGTAGTTCAAAAAAACTTTTAATGTGAATCAACAAACGAGATGACTTGGCCTTTCACCTGAGACCCGTATCGAAAGGGTTAATGCAACAAAAGAAAAGCAAAATAAGTAAGTTATAAATGCTAATAACATATATAGCCTTTACTAAACACAGCATCACCAAATATATACACTCACACACACACATATATATGTTCATAAACACAAGGAAACAAATATATTTTGCTGAAGGAAGTGATTAATGAAAATCAAATAATATAAAAATGACTAAAATATTTGTAAAAACTCCATTAGTGTTTATTTAAAGAAAGAAATACAACCACAAATACACAAAAGTATAAAATGCTGGTTTCATATCATACAGGAACTCTTCAGTTTCTACAATAAAGCTTTTTTGAACAAGATCTACTTAACAATGTAAAACTTCTCACATCTTTTAACCTTAAAGCTTTATATACATTTTAAACTCTGTGTTAAACTATGTAATATTTAATATGGTTTTAAATATATTAATGAAATGATTTTCATAAAATAATCTGTTATTCTTTTCACAAGAATAAAATGGAAATATTTAGAAAAAGGTTTCTTCTAAAGTATAACATTCTACCATAATACACTTATTAATGTGTTTGTTAACAGGTAATGGGCTTTTACTTGCATTTCTGACATGAGATTTGTGTAAATTTATCATCAAATGTAAATTCTGTTTCTCCAACATATATTTGCTTACAACAAATACAAGATAATAGATAAATAGCATTATCATAAATAGCATAAATCTAGAGCTTATAAAAAACACTTTCTCACCAGTAGAGTCTGTAATATATTTAGTGTATTGAATATAATCTTATCCACAAATATAACAATTTGATTTACTCCAGGGAAAAATACCTTCATCAGATTTCTTTACTTTATTTCTCTGATTTAAGATAGCATATAAAATTTTAGGTTGTCTTCACGATATGATTTGTTTAATTTCAAGCTTAACTTTTAGAGTTTTAACTGAAATTCTTTCCACTTCTTTCTGGATATCATTAATATTAATTTTTAACTCCAGGGTAATGTATTATTACAAAAGAAATAATTTGTTCTTTTTTTATATTATTATTAGTTTCCATTTTACTCTTAGCTAACTTGAAACCTCTCTCTATTACACTTTCTGGATAATAACACTTCCTAAGGCAACATTTTAATTGTAACATTTTGTGTTGTTGAACTTCCAGGCTAGAAACAATGGAAAAAAATTATTTAAGCTAAACAAATTGAAATATCTTATTTAGTATGTATAGGATAATTACTATAAAAATCTAAATACTGGTGTGAATTAGCAGGTTTGCAATATAAATCCATTTCAATCTTACTGTCTTCCTTTTTTTGTAATCCATATATCTAAAAAGAATAAACCTAAATTACTCATTTCAAAACTAAATTTTATGTCAGGGTTAATTTGATTCAAATTTCAAAAAATATTCCAGAATCAAAGGATCTGTTCCAAAATAGAAAACAATCATCTAGAAACTTTTCCAATTTTCCTTGATGTAATTAATATAACTACTTTCAAAATAACTTGATAAGGTGTTGAACATTTCAATTTCAAAATATCCCATCACAAAAATGGCATATACTGGAGACACTTTTGTTCCTATTGATGTTCCAGAGATTTGTTGATGTATATTGAAGAAACGTTTTCTAAATATTTCCATTTTGTTATTCTTATGAAAAGAATAAACAATTAGTTTATCAATAAATTTAAAACCACTTTATATAATTTAACATGCAGGAGTTTAAAATATATATATATAAAGCCTTAAGGTAAAAAAAATGTGGTAAGTTTTACATTCTTTAGTAGATCTTGTTTGAGAAAACTTTATTGTAGAAACTGAAAAGTATCCTGGACAATACGAAACCAGTATTTTATGATTTCATGTATTTGTGGTTATATTTATTTCTTTTAAATGAACAGCAATAAATAACGAGTTTTTAAGAATAATTTTGAATTCGTTTTTAAATTGTTTCATACATACACACACACACACACATACATACATATATACATACACATATATAAAATCAATACTTAAACAGTCTAGCGAAATAAAATCAAAAGGAAAAACCTTCATTCACCAGTCTTGCATGAAGAAATTAATAGAAAATAAAATAAAATCATTAAAAAAAAATACAAATTATGAGAGCGAGACGTGGGTGCACAATGTCCCACATCTATATCATCTTTACTGCCTGCAAACAGTTGTTGGAAGGTGACTGCTCTCTAAAGTAAAAGAAAAATGAAATAAGGAACTACCACTTGGGGGCTAGGTAAGATAAATGTACCTCCTGAGGTTGGCATTCCAGCCATCATTATAGTAGTAAAGCACTAATTGAACTTAACTAGTAGTCCAGTAGATAAATTATAATAGTACAGAGTTATAAAAGTTGTAAAAGCTCAACCCAGTTACCTAAACTAACTAGTATAACTCCCAACCATCACCCATTAAGTCCACTGTAGCTACCAATTTTCAGACTTTACACAAGCCTTTATATGTGATAAAATGTTCATCTGCATAAAAGTAGTGCCAAATTGTTTAAATGACCTTATTAAAAACTAAAAATGCTTATCAGAAACTTTCAACAAAAACTCCTTAATTCTTTATATTTATTTATTATATTTTTATACTTACCACAAAATCTTTTAATAATTTTATATAGAGTTTATTTATTAAATCCATTGAATACTAATTTTCGCATTAATACTTTAACATTAATAATGAAATATTGTAATTTATTACAAATTTTACAAAATGTGTATAATTTTGAAGTTATAATATTTATAACAGAAGAGTATGGCACATTACTATTAAAAGAGGGTAAGCTGCCTATTGAAAAAAAAAGGTTTCTTTTATAAAAAATATTTAGATTGATATCTTTATCAATCATTTTAATTTCTAGATCTAAATAATGTGCCACTACATTCAAAATTGAAGTATTTCTGGGACAATTAGAAACTGAAAAGTGCTTTACTACTGTAATGGGGGGCTGGAATGCCAACCTCAGGAGGTACGTTTATCTTACCTAGCCCCCAAGTGGTAGTTCCTTATTTCATTTTTCTTTTACTTTGGAGAGCAGTCACCTTCCCACAACTGTTTGCAGGCAGTAAAGATGCTATAGATGTGGGACACTGTGGGCTTGAGCACCCACATCTCGCTCTCATAATTTGTATTTTTTTTATGATTTTATTTGCATTTTTTTGAATTTCTTCATGTGAGACTGGTGAATGGAGGTTAAGACTGATGGATGGTGTATCCCCACCACAATGTGGGTTCCACTTCCACAGTCCCCTCCAAAACCCAGGGCACATTTTGTATCCCACATTATAACCTGTACCTTGGGGATCCTTTTAATTTATGCAGCATCTTTAATTTAATTTTGTTCTTTTTGTTTTGTTCATTTATAAATATATATACACACACACTATATACATGGACACACACGCACACACACACAATAGTTGTAAACAAAGCTAAAGGTTATTGTAAAAATGTTGCCTTATACTCACAGTGTATTGATTATACTAATATTTTCATAATATAAAAGCACAAGCATATCCTATACCAAACACAAAAGTGTTACATGTATATATAATTTACATATTGCTTTATTCAACTTATTAACCAATTAGTATAATGCTCAAAATGTCAGTCAAATTTCAAATATAAAATCTCTTAAACAAAATATAAACGAATTTAGAAAAAAACGTGAAATTTTACTAAAAGTTGTAACTGTGGTCATTGCAAGATATTTGAACTTGGTTCTTACCAGCACACAGTATAATTGCACGCTTACTGAAATCTATTTGAAAAATTCTTTCACCAACACCTATAAGAGGAAAATTAACAGCTAACACCATCTTAATGTGGAAAATAAATATAATTTTATATCATATATAATGAAAGAATTTGGTGCATCTTACCCTGTCCTCTATTTAATCCACCACTATTATCTTTGAGTCCAGTGGATCCATAATTTGGATATTTGCCTTGATTTCCAAATGACATCGTGAAACTTTTTAACTTATTCCACTGCTACAACCTTAAAAAGATTTTTTTTAATGTTAAAATATTTATGACTGGTAACTTAGTAATGACCTTGTTCTTTTATTGAAATCCTATTTTAAAAACTTTTACAGCTTCTAAACATTTATGAATCATATAGGCTACATTTCATTATGTTTCAGGGAATTATTATCGTGTGTGTGTACATATTAAATGTATTACAATGAACTACAAAGCTAAAATATCAACCTGACTAAGACTGAAATCAAAATGCACATGTCACAAGTGTGCTTTTAGATGAATGCTCCACTGAGCTTCCAGATCTTAAATCCTTAGTCCTGGCTACTATAACATATTTGAAATGCATTCTACCTCTATGTCTTATTGTATAGCTTATTTCTCCTTCTGCAAACTGTATGGGGCAACTATAGTATAAATCAAGTATGTATATATTATTTCAATTTTAATATACACATATATGTAAGATACATAAAAGATTTCTGTGTAAGAGTTCAAAAACTTCAAAGTAAGAAAGTCTACATATACCACAATGTACCTGCATTGTAAAGTAAAAACATGCTAAAAAATATTACTATTTCTATTTTTTATAATATGTAATATGCAGGACTTTTTTTTGAGATGGTACACATTGGTACGGCGTACTGGCCGATTTAAAGCATTTATTGATAATCTTTATGTCTTGTATCACACATCGCTTAAAAATAGCAGAGAACTGAAAGTGTGCATGAACTTGCTGGAGATTCAACTTTTAAAAATTGTCCAAATTTTAGGCACTGAATGGGTTGCATCTAGTTTCTGGTCAGTTTCAGCTGTTTGGGAAAACTAGCATTAGTGTAGCATTTCGAAGAAGCAAAGCATGATTCAACAAGAGACAAAAAAGAACAATGTGCACATGAAGGCTTATGTTGAAAAATTACAAGCACAGAATTTCTATTGGATCTGGGATTGATGTATGATTCTCTTCAAGAGTTATCCAAATTGAGTTTGGACTTACAAGAGCACAATATAGACTTGTACAAGGTGGATCAAAAGATAAAAGCTCTTGTATAAATGTTTGAAGAAAGATCAATGATTCCAGACCCACGTTATAAAAATGCTGCCGAAACTGCCAAAAATCTTCGCTTCTGGGGAGTTTCACTTCACAACAAAGATTGCAAAAAGGATTCTCCAATTAATCCGGAAGCTTTTTACAGAACCTTGAAAAAAAAATCAATCGAAAATAGGTTGCTTGACAGTGAAGATAGTGATACAGCACTATGTGTACAAATGCTTGATAAAAAACATTGGCCAGAAAACGTGGATGCTCATTTAACATTCGGCGAGATAGAGGTCAGAAAATTATCAACAAGACTTCAATTAAATGAAAGAGATATGATTCGTGGATTTCATCAGTATTTGTTTCAAAAGATGATTCTGGAAAAATTGCAGCATTTGAAACATGCTCGAGTACTATTCTCATTTCTTACAGTGAATGTGAACGAGGGTTTTTCTAGATGAATTTGACTGTCACCCCAACCAGAGCTTCGTTGATGACAAAAACTGTTTTGGCACTTTTGTTTATTAAATTTGTTGGACCACCTCCTTCCTTGCTTTGACCCAAAAAAATATGTAGAGTCATGGTTGTTTCAAAAACATCACTCTGCAGTAGACACCAAAAGCAAGGAACAAAGTCGGGATATTGAGTCAGATGAGAACATGATGAAAATTTGGAATTTTCTGTAAAAAGGTAATTCATTGTATTCATTTCTTAATTTCTTATATATATGGGTACTGGCACATTTTTTATTTAACCTGATGACTACCGGTACTAACTTTCTTAGTAGGCAATGCAAGTGCGCATTTGTGAATTGAAAAAATGATAAAGAACTTATCTTTTAAAGGATTTCTGATTTTATTTTTATAAATAGTAGCATAACATTCAATTGTTTGTACAAAATTGTATTCTTTAATGAAGTTTAAAGAGGAATTTAATGAAAAAAATTCCTAAAATACGTTTTAGACTGTAAATAAGCACCCTCTAAGAAGAAATGTTTTTTTCAAAAAATTTTTTTAAGATATTTCCTTTCACCTCAGCACTGGTTCTGTCACCTATGATTGGTATCTAAACCTTTTTTCTAGTCTGTTTTCTTTATAAAACTGTGTATGGGGGTGCTAAACCTCAGTTGTAAAACTTTTAGCCAATCCTAGTCGAAAGTGTCAA